GAAAGAATCGGACACAACTGAAGCGACTTAGCACACACGCATCCGTACAACATATACAAATATTGAATCATTTTGTTGTGCACCTAAAACTAATATAATGTTATATGCCAATTATACTTCAATAAAAAAAGGAAGAGAGGACGGGAGGAGGGGATCATTCTATTTACAGCACGCTGCCACTTGCTTTCTTTGGTGATGATTATTACATTCACCTTTCCATGTCAGCCCCCCTCCCTCCTAGTTCCTTCTAACCGCTTCCTGGTCTCTGTTCCATCCTAGATTTTCCATCTGCAGCAACATTACCCCAGCAGATGCTTGCATCTACTACTCTCTGAAATTTCAGAAGGGGAGCACTGGGGAAAAATGTTTTTCAAATCACTCCAAAAAGAATAGCTTTCTGAACAATGATTTTATGGCATTGAGAACAACTGTGAGCTTCTCAGAAATCAATGTATCATCAATTATACATACTTGCATCATTGTGTCAAATATTGAGGCAAAATTAACAACATTATATATTACTAATCATTATATAGACTCTACTACTGAAAACCTGTACAAAAGTATTGACTTTTAGTCCTTCTTGGGATTTATTATGGTGAAAACTACTTTACCCACACATACACAATTGAAGCCAATTAGCATTGTTCACATTGAGAAATCGGAGAAATGGTTTTAAAAACTGTTGAGAGGCAATGCCAGACATATATGCTCCAGAGTTAACAAGAGACCTTCAACATCATCTGTGCCTTTAAAAAATACAGATATTCCTGGGCATCCGTGCAGACCTACCCAATCAGAATCTCTGGGGCTGGGTCCCAGACACGTGCATTCTTTAAAGCTCCACACGTGATGCTGATACACAGGCAGGGTTGGGAGCCACCCCAGCCTTCTTTTTATGTGACAGAAATGCTGGCTATTCACTAGAGTCCTGCTTCCCTTCCACAGCAGGCATTGCAGCTGCAAAGTGACAACCCAGCAGTCTCCAAATGCTTGCAGGCAGAGCCTTCTGATTGAGTTCTGGCCACTGGAACATGGGCAAAAGCAACATCAACCACATCCAGACCTGGCCTGGCCCTTTACCACCTTCTACTCACTCTCTCTTTCCTCTCTTCACCTCTGAGTAGGTGGTTAATGCCTAGGGCAACCTTCCCTAGGCTGTTAAAATTGAGAGTTTTTAACTTTCTAGTCTCCCTAGAAAGTTAAAAAGTCTCAATTAACAAAGAGATCTTCATGTTTTACTCCACTAGATAATGGTAAAATAAATTCAAAATGATTTTCTGGATGAACGTTGTGACTTCTCTTAAATGTGTATTAATATCACCACTCCTTCCAAACAGCCTTTCTGAAGCTTGTTAATTTATGACTGGGCTTCCCTGGTAGCTCAGCTGGTAAAGAATTCGCCTGCAATGCAGGAAACCCAGTTTGATTCCTGGGTCAGGAAGATCCCCGAGAGAATGGCATGGCAACCCACTCCAGTATTCTTGCCTGGAGAATACCCATGGACAGAAGAGCATAGCGGGCTACAGTCCACGGGGTTGCAAAGAGTCGGACATGACTGAGCAACTAAGCATAGCAATTTATGACTACAAGCTCCCTTGGGGGCCCTGTAGTAAAGAATCCTCCTGCCAATGCAGGAGACACCAGAGACATGGGTTCAATCCTTAGGTCGGGAAGATCCTCCGGAGTAGGAAATGGCAACCCTCTCCATTATTCTTGCCTTAAGAGTCAGGCATGACTGAACGACTGAGCACACAATTTATGACTATAGGATCAACTCTTCCTACATCTGTTGAGTGTCCCAAAATTTCAACTTCCCTACCCAAGTGTCACAGAGCCCCTCCACCCCTGCCATCTACAAGGCAACCTCAGAGGGGGTTTAGGTGTATACGCCTTTGTCTCTGACAGCTTAGCTTGCCCTGTCCTCTCTTCCCTTGTCATTTCAGAGTCTCTTCCTTTTTCTATTTCTCAGAGACAGAGAAGAAAAAAGATGTGAATAGAAGATGGTACTGAGACAATCAGGGGGTATGGGGTCTGTCTGTTTCTTCTAATCCTGAGATAAGGCAGAAGTCCTTCTGCTAGGTGAACACAGTACTTACATTCACCCGGAGTTGGGAACCCAAGTGTGAATCTGGAAGAGGCATGGGATTTTGCTAACCCGGGGTCCCACGGCCCACCTGTGTTAGTTGAGTCTCGGCAGCGGGCTGCCTGTTGGCTCATTTCTCCAGTTAATTCAGCCGATGTTACAACAGATTCCACAGCGGTGCCCTTGCTGGCTGTATAAACACAGAGCATGCTCAATGTGGCTGGGGTGGAGGTGGCGGGGAGTGGGGAAGGCACTTGTCTCCCTGGTAAAAGAATCAGTTCAATGGACTTGAGAGACTGATTCTTGGAGGCTTTTTGCAGGAGAAACATCCAGCAAGCATTCCTCGAATGTCGCCCAGCTCTACTAAAGACTGACGTAGTCCAAACTGACCTCTCCTGGAGTGGATGTCAAAATGTCCCACTGAGTGATTGCGGCAAGGGGAGAATTAAGTATTTTCTTTACAAAGACCATGGTTGAAGCAGGCTTTGTTGTCTTCACTAGTTTTGTGGTTTTTTTGCTAACATTGTCCCCAAATCTCAGCTCTTCCACCTCAGAGTGTGTGCACAAGGGCGCATACCCATGTGTCCACACACACAGAAAATAGAGCTCTCTCTCTGTGACAGCTCTGAAAATAGGTGAGCTAGAAGTTTAGGCTTCTAGACTATTCCACTATTCTGCTTTTTTAAAAAAGAAATGTAAGCTACCGAATTTGAGGTCAGCCTAGTATGATGAAATCTTTTCTATTTTTTTTTTATGAGTCTAGGCATTCATTTCCCTGGATTTGTTTAAGAAGCCGCACTCCCTTGCCTGTCTTAACCCATGCAAAGCCATTTCCTTCAAAGCGAAGTTTCTTCTTGGACAAGGAACTTACCTCAGGTTTCATTTTCCTTCCCGTTCCCTTAACAGAAGCAAACCAGTAAGGAGGCCTGTGGAAGTACTGACCATTACAGTGCCCATCCACTGATGGGAGGGCAGCTGCAGTGCCCAGAGGGGGCCAGGCTGAGCTGAACCTTTCCCCCCTCGCCATGTATGGTGGTATGGGTGAAAATCACAGCAGGATGATGGGAGTGCCTTGAAAACATCCCTAACCATCTGTGGGATATGCTTACCACCTACGTGGTGGCTCAGACAGTCAAGAATCTGACTGCAATGCAGTAGACTCAGGTTCAATCCCTGGGTCGGGAAGATCCTCTGGAAAAGGGAATGAAAACCCACTCCAGTATTCTTGCCTAGAGAATCCCATGGACAGAGGAGCCTGGCAGGATACATGGGGTTGCAAAGAGTCAGATAAGATTGAGTGACTAACAAAAACACACAACATATGCACAGGGAAATCAAAGAAGAGTGATTTCCATCCCTCAGCATTTGCTGAGTACTGGGGTTCAATAACATGCTCAAGACTGCACAGCTGGTGAGGGGAAGAGCTAGGACTGGAACCCAAGCGGGCACAACTCCAGAGCCCACAGCATGTACTTGAAAGCCAATGTAAAGCCAGTGACGAGAATCACACCTGGACATCTTAGAGGTTTCGGCAAAATAGGTTTCCTTGGCTTTTAATGCCATCTAAGTAACTGTCAGTTCAGGACTTTTTCCCTCTTTATTAATTTATACCCTTTGCCTGAAATATAGCTCTTCAAGCCAAGTAAATGAACTTACTGCTTTCCTTGACCTACTACTGAAAAACACATACCCATCCAATACTCAGCCTGAAAACAGTCAAACACACCCACTTTTGCATCACTTTTTAAAGATCTAGTGGGCTAGATGTGTTCTCCCTTTGTACTTATTCTCAGGAATAGGTCATTTTCTAGACTCCAGAAAGCATTTATTTGCCTCTCTCTGGTGCTAACACATTCAGTGGTAGTAAATTGGGTCTTGAACAGAGGTCCATTCATTCTTTGGAGCCATTGGTGTGCACCAGCAGAAATACTTAGTGGGTTGAAATAATATATTGGCATCCTGAGCACCGACCCTAAGCAGCTTAGACTCAAAACAGAGCCTTGCCTGCACAACACTTCCGAAGGATTGTGCATTTGGAAGTGTTTTTATGATCCGCTGTCTTTTCAGCCTGGTGAAGGTCAGCAGACATTTCCCCCGTTTAAAGAAAAGCTGGGATTAGCGGGGGAGGGGGAGATTGGAGGGAGGACACAGTCACGCAAGGTTATGGAAAAGCCAGATGGCAGAGAGGGAGAATTCTAGCAATACTCTCCAGGGTTTCTGGAGGCCGCGACTTCTAAGGGAAGACGGGCGCTTTAATCCAGACCCAGACCAAGGCCTTCCGACCCGGGGTGAGCCCAGGTGAGGACTAACCACTGTCCCTGTCGGCCCCTCTCCCCGGGCCCGGTAAGCTCCAGCGGAGGGCGGGCGCTCGGCTAGGGCGGAGCTTTCAGAGCCAGGTTCGGGATGGGATTGGGGGACAAGTGAGGAGTTTGGTGGAGGTGGGCTGGGTAGCTCATCCCAGCATCCCAGCCTCCCAGTCCACTCGGAAGGTCTACAGGAAAACAAACACGTTCCCCAACCCCCTCATCCCCGAGTCTCGAATCCCCGCCCAAAGCGGGCGGGAGGGGGTCGGGCCCCGGCCAGGGCAGCGCACCCTGGGGGCGGGGAGCGCGCACTGGCCTCGCCCTCGCCCCAGCCGAGGGGTCGCCTCCCCGGCGCGCGCTCCCCGCCTCTTCCCCGGGTGGCGGCGGCGGCGCAGGGGAAGGGGCGGGCGGGGGCCGGCTCTCTCCTCCCACCGCGCTCCCGCCGCACACGCTTCCCAGCACCGAGCCAGCGGCGGCCAGGCGGCGGGGACAGCCCCGCTCCCTTCTCGCCGCCGGCGCCGTTCTCGGCCGGGCGGGCGCGCGCCGCGATGGCCCCGGCGGAGCAGGGCTGAGCCCGCCGCCCGCAGCCCCCGGCCCTCTCCGGCCCAGCCATGGCGAAGCAGTACGATGTGCTGTTCCGGCTGCTCCTGATCGGGGACTCTGGGGTGGGCAAGACCTGCCTGCTCTGCCGCTTCACCGACAACGAGTTCCACTCCTCGCACATCTCCACCATCGGTAAGGGGCGCTGGCCGGGGGGCGCGCCGCCCTCCCCGCCGCCGCCGCCTCCACCTGTCCGGGCGGCGGCGCGCCTTCTCCATCCCGGGAGCAAGGGTCCGCCCCTCCGACTAGAGGCGGGGGCGCCAGGGGCGTGGGCGCGGGGATGAACCCCGGGGTGCGGGACCGCCCGCTGGGGATTTAAGCCTGGGTTCCTGGAGGTTACAGGCCGCCTACTGCTGTCGGTGTCTAGGGTTGGCGCTCGGGCCTCAGGCTGGGGCGCTTCCCCGCAGAAGCCGAGAGAATGGGGTGGCCTAGGCCTGGGTACCCCAAGGTGGGGCAGTGGAGAATCATAGCCACCGATATGACACCCCACACTCCCAGGTGCAGAGGGGGAGGGGAAGGACAGCTTGTGCGCAGGGCGAGGGGTTCAGAGTAGGGGGAGCCGAGGCACTGGGTACCCCTCAGTTCAGGAGTGACCCAGTCTGGAGCCAAAGCGGGGAAGAGAGCAGGAAGGGAGGGGCCAAAGGGATTGAACTGACGGGGCGCAGCTGTGAAAGTAAGCCACAAGGTGGGAGACAGCTGGAGGAGGGCGTAGGTAAGCTGAGAGCCAGTGCGCGGGGGACGAGGCAGGCAGGCCGGCTCCAGAAAAACGTCGCTGGAGGCGTTCTTTTTGAAGGAGGCTGAGGGGGATGAGGACCAGGAGGGTTTCTCGCCAGGCCAGGGGCTCAGAAGGCAGGCGGGGTTCAGAATACATCTCTGCTCTCCAGTGCCCCAGCCCGTGCTTAGAGGGGAGGAGGCCTTATGGCATATGCTGGACAGGGCTGTTATGGAATCACTCATTCTGGGAGAGCGTGGGTGGCCTCCCCTCTGAGCCGTCTTTCGCTCTTGGGTCCTGAGTGGCCGCCTCCTCTGAGAGGCCTGAGTTGAGGGCGTTTCACCCATATCTAGCAGGTTCTCTGATGACGCCCTGGAGTGGCCTCAGCACTGCCCAGGTCCTTCTCCCGTCAGGAAGGGCCCCACACTCCGCTTCCACTTGAGACTTCCACCCTCCCTCCCCACACCCACTCCTTGCCAAGAGAGAAGAGGAGGCAGGAAGAACAAAGCCCCATGGTTTAGAGGCAGTCTTTGTTGTCAGACTGACCTGGGAACCTCACTTTCGGGCAGGGCGGCCTTGAATATCACGTAAGTTTCTCATCTGTAGAATGGGAAGGATAACGCATTCCTGCCTCTCCAGATGTTGTAAAGATTAGATGAGATGACGTTTGTAAAAGCGCTTAGAACAGAGTCAGACACCGAACCTGGAAAAGGCTGGTCATTACTACTGTTGTCATCATCGTGCAGCTCCTCGGGTCTCATTCTCTCTTTGCTTCATTATCTTCAAGGGACTCAGGGTCCGGGACAGGTGCACTCATCTTCTCAGGGAGCTGTAAGCCTAGCTCCTTGGATGTCCAGGAGCTTGGGCTGGGCTGCTGTTTGATGAGAGACATCTTAGGAATGGGAAGGGTCTGGAGGCCAAGGGAGGGCTACAGGCCTCTGGGGAAGGCGCAGGGAAGAGGGAAATGCCTGGGCGTGGCTGAGGAACCAGATGGGGTGTGAGGATGGGTTGCAGCAGCTGATGGTTTCTTGAATGCTAACTTGTTTAAAGCTTACTGTTGGTTTTGTGATTTTGCGTTATCTTGGTCATGTTTTTCAGCTGTAACTAAGAACCTAGGGGAAAAGTTGGATGGTCAAGAAAAGCTTTCCCTTCTGTAATACAGAAAGGTCACCAGGGAGATGGAAGGGGCAGCCAGGAGACAAATCAAGGAACCACAAGGATGGGTACTACCAAGTCCTATTCATTAGTTTATCTGTCCCCCTTCCCCCTCCCCAAAAAAAATCTGTGTCCTGTAACTAGGCTCAGCACTGCAACCTGAAGATTCTCAGATGAATAAAGCCCAGCGTCACCTCTCCCAAGCTGCTCCTTGTCTAAGACACGTTCTCTTACCCTCGTGGACATTGTTCTCGGCGCCTTTCCCAGGGCTGTTTCTGTGAATAAGGAAAATGGGGCAATTCTCCAGTTACTGCCAAGACGGAGTTCAGATTCTTGGACCGTGTCGATTTGTGATTCACTGTTGAGGTCACTTACTGTAAGAGCATGTGACATTCCAGAGAAGAGCCTGCAGGGGGTGATGAGGAGACCTCCCAGGTAGGCAGAGGCACTGACCGCCCCTCCTCTTTCCAGTCCACAGGTGGGTAGGTGGCCCTGAGCTGGCATTTCTTTCCCATGCAGCTCTGCTGACCTGGAAGGGGGCCGAAGCAGAGGCAGGCACCAGTGCCATGCTGTTCCCTACCATTTCTTCACCTGTTAAACCAATTCGTTAAGCATTCACCACGAAGTACAGTACCAGGCGTGTTAGAGACAGATTGCAGTCCACCTTTGCCTGCCCACAGAAGCCTGTGATCCAGCTGGGGAAGCAACACAGGCCAAAAAGGAGCCTTGGCCACAGGGAGACAATCTATCTGAGAGCACGTGGTGAAGCATTCTTCAAATGTAGGGGAGGGATTACAGTCCTTATCGTTACTGGTAATGAAGTTATCACTGTTGGGTACCAGCAGCTAAATAACCCTGGAAGACTTGCCTGAGGCAGCCCGTGAATGGTGAGGGGCCCGTGCATAAGTGCTGATGCTCCCCGAAGCGCTCGATGGAGGAGGTCGCAGAAGGAGAGGAGGCAGGGTGGATGGGAAGCGGCAGGAAGGCTCAGTGGGGAGGGGAGGCTGGAGCGAGGCCTTGCAGTGTGGGCTGCTTCTCAGTTCCTCCTGCAAGGGAAGGAGCAGATGGAGTGACAGGAGCAGAGATGACAGAGGTGGGAATTCAGTGGGTGTTCATGGAGCTCTGGGCAGTCCTGCTGGAACAGAAGAGAGGGAAGGAGTGAGAACATTCCTCTGTTTATCTCTCTGTCTCCCAAACTATAGTTCAGGTGCCTAGAGGGTCAGACCAAACCTCATTCCTCGTTGTTTTCATTGTCCTAGTACAGGGCCGGGCACGCTCTCCATAAATGTCACACTGGTGATGGAAGAAGGGTAGGGGGCACGGCAGGCCTGGCTGAGGAGCTGGCTGAGCCCCTTCGCAATGGTGTCAAGGGTTTCTGAGCAGGGGGATGACAGGAAGAAGGTGGCAATTAGGATGTTGGCCAGGAGACCAGTGGTAGTATCTGGGCACGTTGGGCCCTCTCAGCTCATCCTCTGGCACCCACACCTTGTTCTGGAGCCCCACACAGTCACCTGTTCTTGCTTCCCTCCAGAACTGGGGAGTAGTTCACATCCATCCACCTGGCCCCTTCCGAGAGGCCTCGTGCAGCTGGCGCTGCCTGCCCAGCAGGGAGACAGTGTCCCGTCCCAGTGGACATCTCCATGAAGGGACCTTTGACTTCCTTTCTGCACGGTGGCCACGTGTCAGCCACGCATGCAAACTGTAGGGATGGCCCACGAGTTGGCATTCTCCCTCCAATCCTTGGTCTTCCCTGAGTAGACCTCTCACCTGGTCTTGAGACTGTTTTGTCTTAAAGGCCACCTACTGGGCTTGTAGGAGGCTTTGGCCTATGATTTTCCGGTTTGACTGGCTGAATGGCTGTGGCTTCGGGCCTGGTTCCTCGGCTGGCTTTGCTGATGCCATATCATCTTTCTCAGGAAGTTCTGTTCTCTTTCTGCCTGGTGCAAGGGCTTGTGGCTAACTGAAGAGGGGAGAGTGGGCTGGGGAAGGACCAGTGGGGAGAGACCTGAGCCTGCTGTCGAGTGGCCTAACAAACATGGGGGCCGATGTTTGGGCACCGCAGTCCTGGGGTCTCTGGGCCCCCAGACTGTAAGGCGCTGTGTATACATGCTGTGTGAACTCTGGGAGGGTCAGGAGGGACTCTGTGCCCCCCAGCTCCCCCAGACCCTGAAGAAGGGGAGGGGAGAAGCTGAGTCGAACAAAAAGAGCACATGCCTGAGATTTGCCATGGCCTTACAGACAGTTAATGTCTCTGTCGTTAATTTCCACATCTGTAAATTGGAGATAGTAACAGACTCTGCCTTAATGCTTGTTGTGAAGATTACAGGGGCTAACAGATACAAAGCACTTGGCAGAGCTCTCAGAAAAAATTGCAGCTGTCCTCATTGTGTTATTATGATTATTCCTAGTTCACAAGAACGTTGGAGATGAACGATACGTGCTCTGAGGCCCTCCTGTCCATCACTCATGTGTTTGGTCATTCAGGCACTATCTGCGGAGCACCCACCACTCCAAGCCAGGAGCCAGGCAAGGAGCTGGGGAGACACCAGAGAACAACACAGGGGAGCACATGCGTAGGCTCTGGGTTTTCTTACAGTTTTGGTGCCAGTTCTGCGCTTGCCCTGGCAGAGCCAGGGGCTGAGAATGAAGAGTGAGTTTGTGAGGACATGCAGAGGTGGAGGAGTGGGGCGAGAGCTGACCCTAGGGGACAGGGCGGCTCCTTAAGGCTCCGACCTCAGCCAGCCACGTGTTGCTGGGCTCCCTGGCCCTGCTGCACACACCCCTCCCCCAAGGACGTGATCCCCAAGTGTGGCTGGAAAACCCTCGTTTCGGCTGCTCTATGCACCTGTGCCAACCTGCACAGCTCTGCAGATTCACTCACGGCTTCAAGTGCCCCGGTGCCGCCTTCCTCCCCCTCTCCTCCTGCCTGCTTCCCAGACAGCTGGGTGATGAGCTTTATAACGTCCAAATCGATATTTGGCCATTACCCTTCCACCCTGATTGCCAGCTCTTCTCAGAGTGCCTTCTGCTGTAATCTAATATTTGTGCCTGTTTCCCTGTAAAACTGCCAGTTTTCTGCACAGGCCTCTGACCTCTCCTTGGCTGTTGTGCCCTGGGCAATGTGCTTTGTCAAGCGGATCACAGAGCTTCCTGGACACTTAATTCCTCCCACTGAGGAGGAAAGAATGAATCATCGGCCCTATTTTATTACTAGGAAAACTGAGGCCCGAGAGAAGTGATGACTCACGTCTTACGCGCAGGTGACCCC